AGCGCTTTTGGGTCCTTAGGAAAAGCGCTATACAAATGCAGGCCATTTGGACTCTTTAAACATCTTGATTAAAGAAACTCACTTCAGCGACTTCAGTAGTTTAATAAGGTTAAACTCATTCAGTCAATAATGTATTCACGGTTTACTTAAAATAAATAAAATCTGTATTTATAGTACTGAGCCAATTTGTTAGACCATTTTTTTAAAAAAAAAATCAAAGATAATTTAGAAGTGTAAGAAAAATTATTTTCAATTCAAGCTCATAATATACTTAATTAGGCAAATCACAATCTGAATTGTCGTTTTATATTTAGATTCACTGTTCAAGAATGCAGATACATGTATACAGTGTAATTCGTCATCTTCATCAAAAAGAAATAATAATAATAATAATAATGATATAATTTTTTTACTATTTTTTTCTGCTTCTTTTTAAAACGGTAAATTTGAAAATTCTTAAATAACAACAGCAATTATATTTTCACATTAAATATATCACACTGATCAAAGGCCTTGTGCACACTAGTGGCTTAACCTTTGCAGAAACATGACTGTTAAAAAGTCCTTGCCCGGTCATGCATTCACTGCATTGGAGGAGCAATGACTGTAACTTTATACAGTCATTGGGGAGGAGCATGATTCCCACAATCAGAGTGCGCAGAGTTGCATTTTTCTATGGCAATTGAGAGCGTAGTTGTAGAGTAGCGCTGCTGAGGGTAATTTATGGACTTGAACTGAATTGGACTAATGCTGGCAAGTGTGCGTTCATAGAACCAGTAACATTGGGAACATTTTATTTCTGTTGCAGTTAATGTACCAATGTAGACACCTGTTACTACGGTTTGTGTGTCAGTAGATATGCTGTAGAAAAGTAAAGTAGGTAGTAGTGTGGCTTCACAGGATATCCCTCGTTTCTAAGTTGTTTCAATTGTTGTGGAGCAGGGGCGATTCTAGGATCAGAGTTTTGGGGGTGCTGAGCAGGTGCATTTCAACCACTGTGATAATAATAATAATAATAATAATAATAATAGTAACATTAGGAGGGCAAGAGAGTTCCAAAGCATTCTCAAATATATTATTATGATATATGGATGCAATTACAATAACCTAAATAAAATATAAGCAAAGCTTCCTCTTGTTTTTGGTGGAGGATGATGTCTCAGGCGTTTCCAGTTACTGAGGCAGGAATGCATAGCAATGCACTTACAACATACTAGGTCATTCAAACCTGTTGATCCTGTTTCTGGAATCTATCAGAATATCTAAAGCCTTCCTTCTTTTGTTCTCTCTCATACCTGTAAAACATTCACATGCATTCACTGACACTTTGTCTATGGGGAGAAATGGCACAGAAAGGATTTAAGATTGCTGGTGACAAACTCTCCTGCGCGATCTGTTTGGATCTACTGAAGGATCCTGTGACTATTCCCTGTGGACACAACTACTGCAGGGACTGTATTAAAATTCACTGGGATGGACAGGATCAGAAGCACATCCACAGCTGTCCTCAGTGTAGACAGACCTTCATACCGAGGCCTGCTCTGGTGAAAAACACCATGTTAGCAGAGTTGGTGGAGGAAGTGAAGCAGACTGGACTGTATGCTACTCCTGCTGATCACTGCTATGCTGGACCTGAAGATGTAGCCTGTGATGTTTGTCATGGGAGAAAGCTGAAAGCCTTCAAGTCGTGTCTGCACTGTGTGGTCTCTTATTGTAAACACCATCTCCAGCCTCATAATGATGTAGATGGATTAAAGAAACACAAACTGGTCAACCCATTCAAGAAGCTTCAGGAGAACATGTGCCCTCACCACAGTGAGGTAATGAAGATTTTCTGTCGCACTGATCAGCAGTGTATCTGTTATTTGTGCTCCATGGGTGAACATAAAGGCCACGACACAGTCCCAGCTTCAACAGAAAGAACTGAAAAGCAGAAAGAGCTGAAGCCGTGTCATGAAAAAATTCAACAGAGAATCCAAGACAGAGAAGAACATGTTAAGGTGTTTCTGCAGGAAATGGAAGCCATTAATGAGTCTGCTGATAAAGCTGTGAGGGACACTAACAAGACACTTCAACAACTATTCCTTCTCATCAAGGAAAACATTTCTGATATCCAGCAACAGATCAGATCCCAACAGAGAACTGAAGTAAATCGAGCCAAAGAGGTTCTGGAAAAACTGCAGGAAGAGCTCAGGGAACTGAAAAGGAAAGAAGCTGAACTGGAACAGCTCTCTCACACAGAGGATCACACTCAGTTTCTACACATGTTCCCTTTGTTCTCAAATTTTACTGAATGTACAGAGGTACCCTGCACTAAACGTCATCCTCTGCTGTACTTTGATGATGTGCCGGCTGCTGTATTAGAGGTGAAAAATAAACTACAGGACGATCTTCAGGAAGGATGGCAAAACGTTTCCCGCACAGTGACTGATGTAGACGTGTTGCTACCTCAACCAGAGCCACAAACCAGAGCGGAATTCTTGAAGTTTTCAACTCAGCTCACACTGGATCCAGACACTGTAAACATGCGGCTGTTATTATCTGAAGAGAACAGAAGGGCAACATTTGTGAGTAAAAAACAGGCATATCCAGGTCACCCTGAAAGATTCATGAACAGGTCTCAGGTCCTGAGCAGAGAAAGTCTGACTGGACGTCACTACTGGGAGGTACTGTGGAGCGGGTTTGGTATTTACATAGCAGTCGCATGCAAAAGCATAAGCAGAACTGGAGATGAAAGTGAATTTGGAAATAATGATAAGTCCTGGGCGTTAAAGTGTTCTTCTATTGAGTATGAATTAAGTCATAAAAGAGTATTGGAATTTTTTTCAGGTCCTCAGTCCTCCATAATTGGAGTGTACCTGGATCACAGAGCAGGTATTCTGTCCTTCTACAGTGTCTCTGACACCATGACTCTCATTCACAGAGTCCAGACAACATTCACTCAGCCGCTCTATGTTGGACTGAGGGCTTATCATTTCTTAGGATCAGACTCCTCTGCTGTGTTTGTTTGAGTTTGAGTATGCAGAATGAAGTAATTACTTTTTGTGCTTTTCTTGTGCGTTTTTTGAAATTAAATATATAACCCTTGGTTGGTTGCACCCTTGAATGTTAAAGAGGACATGGTAAAAATGGTAAATGGCCTGTATTTGTATAGCACTTTACTTAGTCCCTATTGACCCCAAAGTGCTTTACTTTGTGAATGACTACGTTCAGTCACTATTGATGGCAAGCTACATTATAGCCACAGCTGCCCTGGGGCGCACTGACAGAGGCGAGGCTGCCAGGCACTGGCACCACCGGGCCCTCTGACCACCAGCAGTAGGCAACGGGTGAAGTGTCTTGCCAAAGAACACAATGACGGAGACTGTAGGAGCCGGGGCTCGAACCGGCAACCTTCAAGACGACTTGCCAATGCTTGAGCCACGATCACTCCATGGAGAAAACACATTTGCATGCATAAATAAATGTATTAAAATAATTAACAAAAATGTCATGCTTTGACCAGAGATTGTAAATTGAAAAATTTATATTTTATTTTCTGTATCTTTTGAAAAATATTTTGCTCATCATTATAGTTTGTCATAGATGAAATGCATTTCATTTTATTTTGTTAAATTTTTAACTCATAAATATTTTCATAAAATGCTGTAGTAATGTATCCACAAGTTGATCACCAGTTATCAAATAAATTTGCTTTAAAAATGTATGTTTCTTAAATGAAGTATCTGTGTCTGTTTATTTATAAACATGAGTATTTTGTTCCATGTTTTGAATAACCAGTGGAGTTTTGTTGTTTCATTTTCTTAATCTATGCTTTTAGTTGCTCCACAGCGTAGTGGTTTTTCTTGTTTGGCGAATGCATAGAAATGCAATGGAGCCTAAACTTTTCTTAAGTGGGCAGTATGGAGTAAAACCACTGCAGAAAGAAACCCTTCTAAACTGACCGTATTTACAAAACAGATAAACAGCCTGATGTATCTTAAAAAATATGGGTATTTTTTTAAATAAATCTCATATGTTTTTCCACATTCAAAGTTTGCAGCCATTCAACGTTCAAGACCAGTTTGGTCCACAAATATTTGGACAGAGACAACTTTCTTATTTTGGTTCTGTGCGTTACCAGAATGAATTTTAAATGAAACTCAGATTCAGTTGATTTTCAGACTTTCAGGTTTAATTCAGTGGGCTGAACAAAAAGACTACATAAAAAAATGTAAGGAACTAAAGCATTTTTAACACAGTAGTTGTTTAAATGCTCATTTCTGATTCTTGGCTGAAATCCCTTTGCTGGCAATAACAGTCTTAAATTCATGAGCATCACCAGATGCTGGATTTCCTCCATTTTAATGCTCTGCCAGGCCTTTACTGCAGTGGCTTTCAGCTTTCTGTCTATAACAAGTGAAATGCATGCTCAGCTGGGTAAAGATCAGCTGACTGACTTGGCCATTTAACTATATTCCACTGCATCCGCATCTCCTCTGGTGTGCCACCACAGACCACGCTCTGCCACAGGGATAGTTTTTGTGCCTATGCATATGTCTTTCACTTTGGTTCGGCCCAGGCGGGTCCAGTAAAGACACATTCTTCTTCATTCACAGCTGGGTGCAGGTTTCTCCAAACTTAAAAACAATATCTTTGCACAATGACTTAAACTAGCACCATTGGAGAATAAACTCCTGGGTTGCTTTGACTGTATGTTTTGGGCCATTGTCCATCTGTGTTTCAAACAGTTTTTATAACTTCACACCAATATTTGACATCTGCATGAGCTAAATAGTCTCAATAAAGAAATGATTTGATTTGTCCACCTATTTTTAATCCTGGCATAAATCGCAAATCATTATTTGAGAATTTAATTCCCCCCCAAAGAGGGTAGCATTCCACATTGTTGCCTTTCATCAGAAATAGTACTTAGAGCTCTGCCCAAATACTTCATACAAAGAGATGACATTGACCCATGCTCTCATTTCTTTTAAATGCTGTTTGACAAACTTGAAGGTCTGATTGGTTCCTCTTTTTTTGACTCGTGGACTTCTGAGGCTCTGTTAGAGTGACTGTCTGCTTGATGGTGATTTCCCTAATCAATGAGCTATTTGTCCTTTTTGTTCTTTTTCACAAATGAACTTTACAGGTTTTTTATACCGTGGTCGTTGTCTCAGTTTTACCATTATGGCCTTTTCTGGATTGTAAAAGAACCACGGCAGACCCGGCGACATGTTGATGCTTTTCAGCATCTTTAAAAAGTGTATTAACCACAGTTGCTATTACAAACACACAAACAGTTGTAGCTCTACATCCAGCCGCACATATCACCACCAACCATAACAAACACAGACAGACAGCACAGCTTTTTATGTCGGTGAGGCGTCTGAACCTACACTGAAGTGTTTTTATATATGAGAATCACCATATTAAGCATGTAACTTATGTAGTTATAAGATTGTGCCACTTGCTGCGTAAAATTTAATAATTAGGATTAGTGCGATATTTGACCATGTCATGACCTATTGTGATAAGCCAAAGGGTAGCCGGTGTCCTGACTGGCCTCTGGCCAGGACCTTGGCCACTACCTGACCCTGCAGCTGTGTTTGGTGGGAAAGTTACCCAGCATATATTAGGCGACCAGATGACACCCCGGCACTTTTTTCCTGCTGCTACTTTCTGTCCATCTCTGTGTTGCTCTGCTGTCTGTGCTTAAGGCTGTACACCTCGGGCTTTTGCTTTGCTTGATCTTCTCTCTTCAGATCTTCGTGTCACTCTGTCAAACTTCACCTTCACTGCTCTCCAACGAGCACCTTTTGTTTCTTTTGCTTATTTGAGTAGTAATCATGACTTTCACAGAGATCCTGTCATAGTCAGTCTTTCTAACTGTGGCCTGTATTAGTCAGCAGCCCTGACACATTACTGCACTTTGAAGTTGAAACAAGAAGCTGTAGACTTCAGCCTTGTAGGGAATTCTGATGTAGATGATCGGTTTCATACACACGGGTATAAATTTGATGCTCTGAATCCTTTCTGTTCCTTTTATTTGGCTAATGGTACTTTTCACTCTGAAACAGTGATGCTTATGTGCTTAATGAAAAACTGGATCAGAACAGAATGAGCATCATCTGACATGAAAGTAAAAGTGAGGAGATCTAGTTTAAATGTTGTTTGTACTGCAGACTGTTTCAAGATGATGTGAAGGATAAAAATAGTGTAGTAGAGTCAGTGGGGGATATATGCAGCCTCTTTACAACAGCCAAAACAGAAAGACAGCTTAGCTCAATACATTATATCACTGAATAGCTCAAATAAAGTAAGCAGTTCAGTAAATATGGTACAGCAGCTTCTCACCTGTAGCATGTTAGTCCTGTTTCTTTTCAATCAAATGGTCTAATGGTCAGTTTGTAGAACATCAGTGCACCAGATGCTTTGTTTTTTCTGGTTTAGTTCAGCAGAGCTCAGTTCTCTCTGTAGCGCCTCACTGTGATTGGCTGCTGTGCTGAATGTTTCCTTTAATGTCTCTGTACTGTGTTGTTTCCTCTTTTAGACCAGACAAACATCACAGCTGAGTCTGGGCAGAACATCTCACTGACATGTCGAGCTCCAAATAATAATAAGCAGATCTTGGCTGTTCAGTGGAGCAGAGCTGATCTGAAGCAAGAATATGTGCTTTTGTACAGAGATGAGGTTTTTATTCCAGACAACCAGCATCCAGCTTTTAAGAACCGGGTGGATCTGCAGGACAGACAGATGAAGGGTGGAGACGTGTCTTTGATTCTGAAGGATGTGACGATTAATGACACTGGAAGATACGAGTGTCGTGTCTTCAGGAGAGGAACAAAACACAGGATTAGTACCACCAGTCTGAGTGTTGTTCCTCCAGGTGAGTCAGATGGTAGGTTTTGTAGTAAAAGGCTTTGATATTTATTAAGTTGTTTTTATGGTGCATTTTCTTTTACTTCATAATACACAGTAATACTATAAGTCATCACCTGCCTGACAGCTGATGTCTCACATCTTTCCAATCTGCATGTCCATCACACACAGCAGATGGAGTGGAGACGGGTGGAGTCAGCAGAGGACGCTTTGGACTGGTGGCTGCTCTGTCTGCTTTTGTTGTGACCATCGCTGTCATAGCTGTGATCTCCAAGAAACAAAAGATGAAGAATACTCCCACTTCCTCCCCATCTTGATGAACTAACTTATATGGCTCCGGTCTGAAACAGACAACTGGGAACTTTTCTGTGAGAGCAGAAGAACCAGTCTGACATTAAAGTTGTTGGAGCTATTTGTACTTTATTTTTAATTATATAAACTATAAATTATCCATACATGTGAGTGTGAATGTTGTCTTCTTTACTACTAATAATAATTTATACTTTATTGATCATTGTGGGGAAATTCTTCTCTGCATTTAACCAATTCACTCTGTGAAGCAGTGGGCAGCCATTGGGCGCCTGGGGAGCAGTGTGTGGACACGGTACCTTGCTCAGGGGTACCTCAGGGAAGAAAAGTAAAGTAAATATCAAAATATGAACAACTTCCTGAATCAACAGTCTTATTAAAACTATTTATACTCCATTCAAGTTGCTCCAGCTACACAGGTTTTCATGCAGTCACAAATACAAAAAAACACCAACTTGGAAACCAGGATCAATAATTCTGATTCCATAATATATAGTCAGATCTCCACTATCATGAATGCAGCTGTAAAATGGAGAAAAATTGATTGAAAAACCTTCAAACAAAGGCTGACTAACTCCATCCTTCCCTTCATTATGTTTGTTTGGTGCCACTTCCGAGGTTGCTGAAGGGGAATTTGTGAGATGTAATGATGCCATGTTCTCTGTGTGTGTTCTCTGTGTCCAAATTCAGCCTGGAGCTTCTCACTGTGATATAGCATTTCTGCACCACTGTCAGAGCCTGACACATGGGAATAATTACTAAACATGGAGCTCACACTAGAACAGAAACAAAATTTGCATGTGGACAACAAGAAAGGTCTTGTATGAAAAAATATACTTCTGTAATAGTAGTCTTTTTTTACATGGAGTGGTCAAAGGAGCTTGCAAAGAAAAGCGTCTGGACTTCTTTAAGTTGCTTGAAGACGTTTCACCTCTCATCCGAGAAGCTTCTTCAGTTCTAAGGTCAAATG